AAAGGGGGTGGGGGGGGGTCTGGCACGCCGATCTCGCTATGGGGGGGGGGCTTAACGAGTCTTCATTTCGTCCACCGTGTCTCTCGTGGAGCCGGTCCTGGGTGGTCAGGGAGCGAGGACGTGCTGCTGGGGCAGGGGTTGCCCCCGGAGGGGGGACGAAGACCCCTTAAACCACCACCGTGGTGGGCCTCGAAGCCTCTGAGCAGCCTGGAGGCTGCAGCAGCAAAAAAAAAATCCATACGTCCCACCCCTCCACCCCCTGCATGAGCACAGCGACTGCCGTCTCCACCTATCGATACGGGGCTTCTCCAGCAGCCAGAGCAGCTCTATATGGCCCAGCTATATTGCCCAGCAGCTCAAGCCCACGGGGAGACGTGAGTAGCGACGGCAGCGCTGCCAACCTCAACTGTTGGTCAAGGGACAGCTTGATAACGGCCACGATTATTTAATTTGCAGGCCCTCTTTACCGCTGCCTGTTTGAGGCTGAGGGTTAGGTTTTAATCTTTCCTTCCCAGCCACGCGGGCTCAAAATTCACTTTTCTGTTCTAAATAAGCTCAAATCATCACTCAATTATTTGCTGGGTCTTTATGCAAGAGTATTAAATAGCGGTTGGTCTCGATGCTGAAACAAGAGGATGGTCCATGCGTTGCCTCTTGGGTCTGACGCACACGGAGATGTCACCTTGCTGGATTTTTTTCTTACGCTTTTAATACGACGAGGGCGTTAAAACCCCCTTTTTCATTGGAGTTAGCCGGAGTGACCACCTAACACCGCCTTGTAACGCATCTTGCCTTCGTGTGTCCTATGAAAGACGGGACCGGCAGCAAAACGCACACCCCAAAACTCACCACGTAAGTATTGTGCTGCTCCCTTAAGGCTTCCACCGATTTGCTTTTTCACTTTGACATGGTATCGCCGCTTCTTTTCGGTGCTAAACACCCTTCCCGTCTCCTTGCAGCTCCGAAACGGCCTCGCAGCTCGCTGGAAGAGCGAACGCCTTCCCGGAGACGCAGTCCCAGCAAAGGAAAACGTGATGGTAAATATGGCACTTTGCTTTTCTCCTCTCCCTGCCCACCGCTGGTCACGTAGCGCCCAGGCTCTAAAATTCAATTTGAGGGTGGAACAGTTTGGGTTAGGTCTAGGTAGTCCTTGTTAAGGGCAAAAGTGAATTTAAAGAGGGATTTTTTTCACATCCCTCTGGCGTTTTTGGGCTCCTGCACACCTTCCGTTCAAAATCCTGGTGTTCGGACCTCCAGAAGTGCCTAAAGATGCACCCAAGGACCATCGGAGATTTGCAGAAGCGGCCGATGAAAGCGGCCGTTGACTCGGAGCGGTCCTGGAGCTTTTAATTCCCCCCCCTCCAAAGCCCTGCCTAAACTTTTAAGTCGGTGCTGCCCTTTTTAAGGCTGAGCTTGGTTACAGAGATCATCTTTACAAGCGTTTGATTAATTTCCCCCCCCTCTTTTTTTTGTTGCAGCAGCTGGAAGAATGGAGATAAAAGACTATTTTATGAGCAAAAGCGAGAGCCTCCAGGCTTCGGTGTGTTTTATCCTCTTCTCGCTTCCCAAAGGTAATGCCATCGTGAGCTAATAAAACATGTTTAAGAGATTGTGGACAAAGATGCCCGGCCCCTATTTTTATTCCATGCTGAGGATGTGGTCTGGCATCGTCTGTTAAACGATCTCTTTATTTCTCCTCCCCGCAAAAGCACGCCGGTTTTTTTTTTTAACGTATCTTTCTTTCATTTCAGGATGTCAGCCCGAAATAGCTGCTGTTTCCAAGGAGCTGCAGATAAATTATAGATCAAACGAGGCTGGCGTGAGGTTGACAGCAATCTTAAATGTCCTGGGACATATCCAAAGCCATGTGAAAGATTTTTTTTTTTGTAATGAGCAATAAAGAATACATTCCTATTTGTGTCTGTGCATTTGTTAACAACATCGTTTTCTGCTCCGATGGGGAGAAATATCGGAGCGAATTCCCAAAATGGAAGAAATAAAAGAGAAATGGTTGCCCAGAGGATGGGTTTAACGTAGGGTTTGCTTGGAAACCCATCGGCTGCGAGGTTGGAGGGCCACAGCTTCTCGGCTCTGTGCTTGGGGACAAAGAGAAGGGACAAGAGCCTCACTCGAGACCCTTCTTTCCCATTGCAGCTGCAAGAGGCGAGCGCGACCGTGCGACGAGGACGTGGCCCAGATCGGCCCGAAGAGGATCAGGTACCTGGGGCCGGTGGGGAAGGGGAAGCTGCCGCGCCATTTCCCGGCCCCTCGGGAAGACGAGAAGGTGCAGCTCAGCCCTTCTGTGGTGGGACGCCCTTGGCAAGCAACACTTGCTCTGACAGGAGCCTCTTGAAGGGCTTAAATTAAGCTTCTGATGGGTGGGTAAGAGGGAAAGATGGGTGAGGAGGACCTAGTGGGGTGCCAAATCCAAAAGCCACAGCTTTTTCGGCTCCCCGCCCTGCTCATCCTCACCGACGGTGGTTTTCCACCCTCTCTCCTGCAGGAAGGCGGCAAAGCGCGAGATCCTCCTGTGCGACTTCGAAGGCTGCGGCAAGATCTTCTCCAACCGCCAGTACCTGAACGTGAGGGCTGGGGGCAACTGTTGCGCTTAAATCCACCTCTCGTGCCCCGGGAGGTGCAGCCGAGCTGGGCGCGAGCATCCCTCCCGCTCCCAGTCTCTTCTGGGGCCACCAGGAGCTTTGGTGACCCACTAGATAGGTCAGGTTTTGCCTGTCCAAGCTCCATTTTGGGCATCTTGGCTGTTGTCCTAGAGCTGGAGTTGGGCGACCTGAATTGCCCGTGGCTTTCCGAAGCTGGATGATAGACAGGGGACCCGTTGGCCCCGTGCGTTCAGCAGCAGCTCGGCTTGCCTGAGGTCACTTGAAGTCCCACCACGCGCTTCAGGGAGCGAGACGGGGTGGGAGGTTGTCGCTGGAAGGTGCCCTTGGGCTTCGTCCCAGTGCAGCTCCTCGGCGCCGACCTCCTCGCTTCTCACTCCTCCTTTTTCTCCCCAAAACGGCAGCACCACAAGAAGTACCAGCACGTCCACCAGAAGACCTTCACCTGCTCGGAGCCCAGCTGCGGCAAGTCCTTCAACTTCAAGAAGCACCTCAAGGAGCACGAGAAACTGCACAGCGGTGAGCTGGCCACCTCGGCACGGGCACCCTACGCAGATATATACCTCCCTATACCTCCTCCCCTGCGCTGGTCCCACCTCTGCTGGGCTACAGCTGACCGTACCCACGTCCTCACCATTCACATTTGCATCCCTGGTAGATGTTACCGCACCCGTTTGCTTTCTGCTCCCGAGATCTACTGTCAATCTGTCATTTATCATCTCCATTCCTGTGCTGGGAAAGCATCCTGCCTCCTAAAATACATCCCGAGAGCCCCCCGACTGCTCTTCTAGACTGGATCAGCCCCTAATCCTTTTTCCTTCTGCCCCACAGACAAGCGGGACTATATCTGCGAGTTCTGCGCCCGTTCCTTTCGTACCAGCAGCAACTTGATCATCCACAGGCGCATCCACACAGGGGAGAAACCCCTGCAGTAAGTACCAGTCCCACCAACGCGACCGCCGACTCTCCGGTTGGCATCAGGGTTTCTCCCCGTCACTTTTCAACCCAAATTTAGCTTCTCGGTGCGTGGGTGGGAGAGCCAAGCCTCTCGCTGTGGGTAGCCAGAGGACTTGCTGTTACTTTTGCTTTGCCTAAAGGTTTCTGCCCCTGGGGCTGGCTGCGCTCTGATCCAGCGGCTTCAGGATCAGCTTCGGGGCATGGGCTTGATTTGGAGGAGCTTAATAAGCTGGGACTTAACGAGAGCGATGCGTTTCCTTGCCTGGAGGGTGTGCTGAAGCCACGCAGAGCTAACGCAGCGCTGCGGGGCAGTGGCTTTGCTAAGCCCATGTAAAATTGCAGCATCAAGATGAGGCCGGGGCCAGTTCTCCCTCGTGCTTAATCCCTTGTAATACCTTTTTTTTTTTTCCCCCCTTTCACGTTGAATCCCGTCCTGTTTTCTCCCAGGTGCGAGAGCTGTGGCTTCACCTGCCGCCAGAAAGCCTCCCTGAACTGGCACATGAAGAAACACGACGCCGACTCCTTCTACCAGTTCTCCTGCGACATCTGCGGCAAGAAGTTCGAGAAGAAAGACAACGTCACTGCCCACAAAAGCAAAAGTCACCCCGAAGTGCCCGGCGGACCCCCCCAAGCCGAGGGGGGCCAGCGGCAGACGGTGCCATCCCCACCGCTGAACTTCAGCGCAGGGATGCGGGCAGGGCTGGAACACCCGGAGGCACCCGGAGCGTTGGCCACGGAGCCCCTGGAGCTGCCGGGGCTTGGGGACACCCTGGTGAGCGGTGGTGAACCGGAGAAGACCCCACCTCCCATCGCAGCCTCAGCCGAATATCGGGGGGGTATCAGGCAGGATCCGGACGTGCCCCGAGGCCGGGTGATGGACGGCGTTGGTTCGTAGCAGGACTCATCCTCCGGTTCTTGGCCGCGGGAGGGACCAGAGAGCAGGATGGGAGGAGCGACGGGGCAAGGTGAAACGATGCTGGACGCCGCGGCGTGCGGCAGCAGCGTGTCCAGGTGCCAAAGACACAAGGGACAGGCAAGGACTGGCGCTTGCCGGGGGGAATCCCAGCTCCTCCGCCAAAACCCGGGCTTCCCTCGAGCTCACAGCAGCGTTGCCGCAGGTGGAAAACCTCTTGCCCAGCTCCCTCGCTGCGAGGAGGGAGGGCGAGGTTGCCAAAGTCCTCGGCAGGATCCTCAATAAAGACTTATTTTGCGTAAAAGGGGGTTTCCCCCGCTTGCGCCGGCCGCTTCTGCGCCTCAGCGCTGGGTTTCTATGAAAAACACAGGTAGAAAAGTGAGATTTCCGTGGGTGCAGCCTGCCTCGACACCCAGTCCAAAGGTTGTCTGTATTTAGCACAATAAAAAAAGGGCGATTGAGGTCGGGAAGTCAACGGTAGGTGGAGGGGATCGAGGCTGTATCGGTTTTGGCCTCGGAAACAGGCGTTATTTGACCTGGTGATGGTTCCCCAAGTCCTGTAAAACGCCACTTGCCTTTTATTGAGCCTTTTTGGAAAGGATTGTAGCATTTCCGCAGCCTTGAAGGTCACCAGCTCAACAGGGTTGATGAAAAAAAACCAAACCACCCAACCAACCCTGCAAGCGTAGGCTACAGAAGATGGTTTTGACACAGATAAAGGGGCTGCAGGGAGGACGGAGCTCGCCGGAGCACCCATGGGAATCGGGGACCCAAAACGGGGCCGGTTGGAGGAATTACAAGTCAGGCTGTGCCCTCAAATAGCACCGGGGGGGGGGGGGGGGGGGGGGGGGGGGGGAACCCCCCACATTTCAGGGGAGAAGATGGGTGTTGGAGGTGGGTTTTTCCACTGCGATTCGAAGCGTCCACGGCTTTTTGTTTCCGGCTGCAAGGAGGCCTAAATCCCAGTTGCCGAGGGGGATGAGCCAGAGCACGGCCCCCCCTTATCCAAACTGCGCCGCCGGCTGTGGGCTTGGAGAAACCGGTAACGAAGGAATCGACCCCAAAAATGGGGCTGCGAGGGCTCCGTGGGAGCTCCCGGGCCAGGGATAAATAGCGGGATGAGTGACGGTGCAGAGACGCTCTGCGATACCCCGTCTCGGGGGCGCCTGCTTTCCTGCTGCTCAGTTATTTTCCTTCTCGGAGCAGAAACTGGGGGGGGGGTTTCTTGGGCTTGGTGGGGGAAT